ACAATTCCTCTTATGGCATGTCTTAGGTAGGGCTGCCTAGGACAAGAGGTTGAAAAAATGATTCATGGAGGGGGTGTGCTCTCAAATGAAATCTCCAAAAGAGTGGGACAGGGGGAGAAGCTAGGCAAAGAAATGGGGGTTCAGCTGAACTCTACTTCAGCCTGATCTCATGGGGAATGCTGGAGTGTGAATGCCATCTCTGAATCTCCTACTAATCAGTCATTGGCTGAGGGCCAATTTAGGCACCTCTGGGCACCATGGCTCCAACTGGATCAAGGTAATTCTCAGGAGAAGAGTGAGCTCATAAGCCTCCAACACTCACAGCACTTGAAGCAAAGCTGCACTTCCTTAGTGAAGGGGAACTAGGTAACCACCACCATGTATACTATATGAAGCATAAATTTTGAAGCATAAATTGTACTCATAAGAGCTTCTCCGTAGCTATGAAGGGTAGTACTATCTGAGCTTGAATGGTGGCTGGCGTAGGCAGAATAATGTTGCTGTTGTGTGCTGTCGAGTTGGACCTGACTTGTAGTGACTCCTCCTTGAGTTTCTGTGGCAGTATCACTACAGAAGTAAATTGTCCTAACTTCCCTCTGAGGAGTGGCTAGTGGGTTTGAACCACGAGCCTTCTGGTAGTAGCCTTCCCCAAAACTCCACATCCATTCCCAGATTCTAGAATATGTTACATTATACAGTAAAAGGGACTTTGCAGATGAAGTAATATTAAAGATTTTGAAATGGGGAGATTATTCTGGACTACTCAAGTGGGTCTAAACTAATCACCTAATTCCTTAGACCAGAGAGCCTTTGATGGCTGATTTTCCTCCAGAACCTGCAGAAAGGAACACAGTCCTACTAACATCTTGGTTTTAGCTCAGAGAGATTGGTGTTGAGCTTTAACCTACATAACTGTTACATAATGATTTTGGCACTTTAATTTGTTACTGTAGCAATAGAAGCATAATATAGTGGCTAGAGGAAACATGAATGAGTAAGGAATTGATAAAATTTCCATAATTTAAAAATAATATGAAATGATACTAATCTTTTGTACTGTTTTTTCAATTCAAGTAGAATAACAAATTCTTACTACCTTTCTTAGGATTCATAAACTGACTTTAAAAATCATATACAAATCATTTCAATAAAATTATAGGTGAATTAAAATATGAGAGTAAAAGGTCAGTAGTGTGTAAAGGTTATGAAAAAATATCTTTAGTGAACTCCAAAGTTATTAAGAGAAGATTAAATAAGGGAAGAAATTATGTTTATTTTTAATATTACATTAAAGCCACAGGTGTCAGGTCAATACAAACTGAAAATCACTCTATTTGATTGTTTGGATGTTTGTTTGTTTGTTTGTTTGTTTTTTTTTGTCAGTATCTGCTTGACATTTACTCGTTTTGGTAAAACCTTTCGTGGCCTAGTGCCTAAGGCATTTGACTGCTAACCAGAAGGCTGGCAGTTCAAACCCACCAGCCACTCCTCAGAAAGAAAACTGGGCAATCTACTTCCGTTAAGATTTACTGCCTTGGAAACCCAAAGGGAGTCACTATGAGTCGGAATCAACTTGATGGCAGTGAGTTTGGTTTTGGTTTGGAGCACATGAAAATGCAAGACATTGGACTGTGAGTTTTATAGCCACTAGAGGGTGCTATGGGGACATATTCTTCACCTCGAAGGTTGCTTCCCAGGCAGGCAGTTTGGTAACTCTGAATCTGGTGACTGTTCTGGCTAAAGGATCTGGGTTGCACCTGAACCTGAACTTGGCTTTGCTTGCCATGGTTTTCCAGAAGTCTGTGTTTCCCTTGTGTTACCTGATAAAAACCCCAAACCCATTGCTGTTGAGTCAATTCTGACTCATAGCTGCCCTACTGGACAGAATAGAACTGCCTCATAGGGTTTCCATGACTGTACTCTGTACAGAAGCAGACTGCTTCATCTTTGTCCTGTGGAACACCTAGTGGTTTAGAACCACTGTCCTTTCAGTTGGCAGCAAACTGCTTAACCACTGTGCCACCAGTGCTCCTTGAATTATTTCATATTCTTCTAAAATCAAGAGTGTGAGTGTGGAAAATGTTTTGCACCGATGTAATTTTTTCAATAGTAGTTTATGAAAACTGAAAGCTCTTGGTGTCTTCTTTGGTAAAAAGGAAAGACAATAAAAGTGTAATAAATTTTAACTATATATATATATGTCTTAAAAAAATAGAAATATTAGTTAAAGAAATGAACATTAGTAGCACAGTGCAACTTAGTTAAATAAAAATCCTCCTATGCCCCTGCCGGGAAGAAACACAGTGAGAGGGAGGAGGATACAATGGCTTTTTAAAAGGAATTGACATTCAAGATTACATTCTTAAATTTTATTTATTTATTCAGTCAATCAGAAATACATTTTCATGATATAAAATTGTTGTTTGGAGAGGAATAATATTAAATTTATTGTTTTCATAAAATAATGCAATTAGTATATTTTAGTGTGTTATTTAAAATATCATGATTTATATGAACTTTTCTTAGTAACATATATTCTACTGCTTTTTTTGTTGTTATTTTTCGATCTATAAATCTAGTTACCAAGTCAAATTTCAGTATGTTCTCTGTTTAGAGAGATATCTGGACTGAAGCTCACCAATTATTTATAAGAACAGATATTATGAAATATTTATTTGCAGGTGCTCTTCTTTTTCCAACTACATATCTGATATCATATTTTTTTTCAATGAAAGTAACATATCATAATAGATTGAATGCAGAAGATAATATGAAAACACAGCAGTTGTCAATTAATCAGGCATTAAAGACATTTTCAAAAATGTCAGCAATGACACTGTGGTGGTTATGTTGTGTGTCAACTTGGCTGGGCCTGGTTGAGTGGCTGGGCAGGTGGTGGTAGTTATTCCCCATGATGAGACTGGCAATTAACTCCATGGTGGGATCTACCACAAGCAGCTGAGTAGCTGCCTTTGGGATGTGGTCTGCTTCCTGTATATAAGGAG